GTCGCTGCGCGGTCTGCCCAGTCCCAGCCCTCGGCCCACTGGCCCTCCCTGCTCTGGAGGTTCCACGTTCCTGCCTGGGAGTTGGGAATCACAGAGCGCAGGAGCTGTTTGGTTCGCTTGGTTTCGGGAGGGGCGGGGCTGGCCAGGGGAATGTCCGATTCGGGCTGAGCGCCCCCCTCCCCTTTCCTGTTTGTCCCCTCGCTGTTCATTCTTCTACTTCCTTCCACAGGACGGGGGCCTTGGGCGGGGCCCAGGGGTCCCCAGCCCCGTGCAGCTCAGACTGTGCTGTCAGCAGTTGGCAACCGTGTGCTGGCGCGGACCTGTGCGCGGAGGGGAGGGTGCGCCGCGTGTGCACACGTGTCCTGGTGCGTCGGCGTGTCCAGCGTTCTCTGCATTCATCAGACACAGGCGCCGTGTGGCGGGGCATCGCGCTCGTTCACTGCCGCATTCTTAGGGGTCTAAAACCGTGCTTGGCGAAGAGTCTGTGCCCATTAAGTATTCATGAGATGAATGAATGAATGAACGAATGAACAAACCTCAGCCCACAGGTGCTGAAGACCCCAGAGAACAGCCAGGACAGCTGGGGTCTCTGCCCTCTGCAGGGGAAGGAGGTGGTGGCAGCTTAGCCAAGGGTTGCCCCGGTGGCTGGAAGCTCCGGTGCCATCAGTGTCCCCCACACCCTGCTGCTCTTGGCCTGGGGGCCTTGCTCACCTGGAAGACATCAGGGCAGAGGCTGGAGGTGGCTCTGTGGGAAGACAGGATGGGGTCAGCAGCCAGAATAGGCCCCAAGAGGCCAGGCTGGAAGACACGGGCATTTCCTGCCCACCATGGGCCATCCGCAGCTTAGTCCGAGGGGAGAAGAGCTAGGGGTTCCTCGCAGCTGGGAATGGACTGAGCCCTTAGAGGTTTCTGGGGCCGCTGTGTATGCACGTGAGCTCACCTGCACGCATGCTGGGCTGACGTACGGCAGGACTCGCCCATGCAGCCATGCCAGTTATTAAAATCGTGAAATGGTCTACACTGGCTGATGAAAGTGCCCCAGCCCAACCCCTCAGAGCCCCTGAGCCGCCCACCAGTCCACACATGAGAGTCCCCATCCAGCTCAAGCCCGGCTTCCATCCCATGGTTGGTGTCCTTGCCGGCCTCTCCCGCCCCCAGCCAAGTCCGGCTTCCCGGACACATCCTAGGGCCTGTCTGCAGACTCCCCGGCAAGCTGTGGGTGGGCAGTGCCAAGGGGCACCCTTGTGTCCTCCTGCCCAGGGGTGCCCACGTGCCTGTCCTCTGAACAGCAGGTCCCTTGGCGGGGACCTCGGCAGAGAGCTGGCAGCCCGCAGAAGACCTCGCAGCGCTCAGAAGGGATGGGGGCTCAGGACAGATGATCGGCTGCAGGGGCCACTTCAGGCAGCAGAGAGATGGGCCTATGGCCCCTCCCTGCCGGAACCCCACAGGCCTGGGGACAAGGTGAAACTGGGTCCTCCCCAGGAGGTTGCAGCGAGGGGCCCAGCAGGCTCGGTGCTTGCAGTGACCTGATTCTGCAAAAGTTAGGGCCCACAGTCTGACAACACCACACACCCTGGGGTTGTCTCAGAAAGTCTGGGACGGTGGGAAAGGTACAGCCAGGACGATGGTCTTTGAAGTCAGATACGTGGGGTTCAAATCCTGGCTCCTGCACCTTCCGGCTGTGAGGCCTTGGGCAGGATGGACATGCCAGAGGAAGCGGCCACCCCTCAAAAACTTCAGACATTTTCTCAGCCTTCTCCGGGATATTTTGCGAACACAGTTCTGAGCCCACCCCTAGCCTGTCTGGCCCAGGGTCACACAGGACAATGGGGGTGGAGTTAGAGTCAAACCCAGGCCCCTGGCTCCACAGCCCGAGAAGCTCTCTGGGACCCTTGCTGGGGGTGGAAGCTGGGAGGGGCCCGCAAGGCCAGGCCAGGCCAGGCCGAACTATGGATACTCCCTTCTCCTGCACACCCTCTCCGTCCGAGAAGGCGGCAGCTAAGGCCGCAGAGGGACCTGCAAGCTGACCCACTGCTGACACTGCTCAGCTGGCCCCATGCAGGCGGGAGGTCAGTAGGTGGCCTGGGACAGAGGTTATATCAGGTCTCTCTTGCCCCCACCCTCTCAAGACTCCCAGCCTGACCTCACAGCCAACCCTGGGCGCCCGGGCCCGACCTGCCCAGACCATAATTCACACCCTGTTCTCTGCCAGCTGACATCTGCGGCTGCCCTTTGGGGGGCTCTTGGCTTCCTGGACCATTCCCAGCACCCACATTCTTCCCACCACCCAGGCAAGGAGGGCTGAGCAGGAGAGACCTGCGCGGGGAAGAACGGGCCCTGTCCCCAGCCACAGGGGACTAACGGGACCCGGGACAGCTCAGGTAGAGAGCCCTGTCTGGAACCCCCAAGCCCCTCCTGCCTACTTCTCCGGTGGGGGCCCCACCCACAGGCGTCACTGAAGGGCAGGAAGGCCCCGCCCATCTGACAGCACCCCCCCCCACTCACCACTGCCACAGGCTGGGACAGAGACAGCCAGGGGGGCTGCTGGGCTGGGAGCATTGCAGGAAGAGCAAAGCCGAAGGAAACAGCTGCATGGGCACCCACGGACCGCCACCTGAGTCCAACCCGACCCCCACCCCACAGCTCGGAGTCCAGTGGAAGCCTCGGGTTCTCCTTATCTGACGAAGGTCCCCAGTCTGCAGTCAGGGACTAAGCTTTGTGCCTTGACTCAGCTGTAGCCTCCTCACTCTACCCTGCCCCGCCCACCAGGCTGTCCCCCTGCAAGCCTCAGGGCAGGAGCAGCACGTGGGCTCCACTGTGGTGCAAAGAGGACGACGTGGAACAGGTCCCCATCACTCTCCCATCAGCACTGCTTTCGCCTGCGGCCAGGAGGTAGCGTGGCGGAGGGGCTGGTAGCACGGACTCTGCAACCAGATGGCCAGGGTGTGACACCTAGCTCCCCCTCTTAGCAACAGCAGAATGTAGGGGAAATTATTTAACCTCTTGTTCTTCACTGTCCTTATCTGTAAAATGGGGATAATGGTGACCAGAGGCCTCACAGCAGCGTCAGTCATGCTAGTACAGAGCATGTGCTATCTAAGCACCAACTGCTACATAAAACTGTTGCCTAATTGCCTCTCGTGCATTCACTGGGCGTCCCCAGGCCCTCCCTGGCAAACAGCACAGCGTCTGTGTCCACTGCTGACAACCAGCACATGGTCGAGCACACGATGGGCTCATTTTTGCTTGTTGGCCCGATGACTTCTCTTGTTTCCATCACGAAGGGCTATCAAGGTTGGTGTCTTTGGGGGTGGTATTGAATTCTAGATTCCAGCCAGCCACATTTTTTCTAGTAGCTAAGTATGTGTACACCTTGGGAAATGAGAGCTATATAACTGACAAAGCTTCTTTTTTTTTTTTTGCATTGGCCACCAGGAAGCTCACAGGCAAAATTATGTATTGTTGAACATAACAATGAGAGCTCAAGGATGCCAAGTGCTTCCATTTTGCATTCCAACTAGATTGACTGGCGGTGCTGAGCTGAGGAGTCTGAGGCTACAGTGAGTGATGTTGGCCGTAAGCATGGCCAGGGTGCACCCGAGCTAAGAATATGAGAACGGTGATCAGTTAGTGATGTCTGTCGAGTGCGGCCACAGAAAGCATACTATGTGCGCAGCTTACGTTCGCCATCTCAAGGTAGTAACCTTACGGGCAGCTCAGCTGTGTTTATTTCACCCAAGCCTACGCTTCCTCGTACATTGACGTTTTCCCTGCTATGTTTTATATTGTACGCACTTCCTTTGTGAAACAAGGCAACTTGTATATACGGAGAACTGGACCGGCTTCACCCGGAGCCCCCAGCCGTGGAGCATGATAAGCAGCTGCAGACAGTCTCTGGTTGCCGCCGGGAACAGCCCCTGCAGACCCTAAGCCTATGCCAGCCCTGGGTGCTGGGCCTGCCACCTGCCACAGGGCTGAACGTGGCTGTGTCCTAGATCTCAGCCACAGAAAGTCTCTTGCAAGGAATTAATTAGGTTCAGATCAAGAGTTGGACCGTCCCTAAAGTGCACCTCCTCCTTGCTGAGGTCAAGGCTTTCCAGCCTGGGTCCTCCCATCCCGTCTCTCTTTGGGAAGCCAGTCTGTGGCTACACCCTACCAGGGCCTGAGAATCGTAAAGCGACGTGATTCGGGAATCACCTCAGAGGACTGTGAAAAATGCAGATTCCTTGTCCTCATCCCAGATTTGCTGCATTGGAATCCTCGAGCCCTGGAATCTGCATTTTCCCAAGCGTTCCTGTTGGAGGGAGAGACCCGCAGGCCTGGGGCTGGTGTTCGGGCTCTGGCGGGCTCCTAGGCTGGGGCAGCAGCGCCCCCTGGTGGGTCCTGCGGAAATACCACCTGTCCGGGCCCCGCATGCCCTACTGGGGAGGCAAGAGTCCCCCCACCACACCACCCCCTCCTCCTCCAGGGACCTGGAGATGTGAGAGAAGAGGAGACAAGGGCAAGTGCCCTCTGGGCGCGGGGTGCGCCGTGGCTCAGCCGTAGGAGCCATGCACAAGAGCTTCCTTTGAAGTCTCGTATTTCATCTTAAAAAGTCCCCCGAATTCTGCACGTTACTCTATCACATTTCTTTAGTATGAAAATGTTTCCTTTCCCAAATCTTTGCAAAAACAGATGTTCTAGAAAGAGAGGCAAGAGGCGAACTTACACTGTGGTTTCACTGGGGGCACCTGTACTCCATCTCAGAAGCAGGAACCGAGAGGTTAACACGTGTGTTATCACAAAATCACACCCGGCGACCCCAGCAGCCAGGCAGGCGGCAGAGCCTGGCCCGTCACATTCGTCGTGTACCAGGCTGAAGAGGGAGCCGAGACCTCTGGGCCACAGCAGCGAGGTGCCCACCACTGCCTCCAGCAGACCTGGCCACTCTGCACACACCCTTCTCCGCCTGGTCCTCCCCTGCCCCAGGAAGTGGCACCCCCACCATTTCAGGCCGGATCGTTACAAATCCTCTTTAATTGTCAGTCTTAGAATCCTGAATATGTTTTACAGAACTGTGCACACAGATCCCCTCCCTCTCCCCCCAACAAGGCACAGCCTCACCCACCCACCGCCCAGGGGCAGAGGACAATTTGCTGAGATAGGCCAGCCCGTTTCTCCCAGGAGAAGGCACCCTCCTCCTCCCCTTCCTTGGAGAGCTCGGGATCATGGAGAATGCGGGGCCAGCTCTGTGCCACACCCCCGGGGCCAGGCCAGGTGCCCTCGCCCGGGCAGACTCCCTTCGGCCCCGGATGATCTGAGCTGCCTGGATGGGGCCGCGTCGGCCTAGGGAAGGGCTGCTGCCCCCAATGTCAGGTGGAGCCCACCCCGTCCCACTACCTTCGATAAAAATGTGAAAAAACAGACATAAGTGTCATAGTGGGAAAAGTTGACCCACCCAGTGGGTAGTCCCCTGATACCCCCCCCAATTTTTAATACACGTTCCCCTATACGATATACGTGGCCTCGAGGGCAGGTCAAGTCCAGCCCACCTGCGCACGGACGCCGCAGGAGCATCTTCTCTGAGTTGCAGAGAGAACCCCGGCAAGCAGCGGGCGGAGGGGCCGCAGAGCAGCCAGGAGTCGAGGCCGGCAGCAGAAAGTCGGGGATGGAGGCCAGGCCCCAGAACGCCCCCCACGTCCCGTCAGCACAGGCGGGCGAGGGGCCTCGGCAGCGAGGTGGGAGGCGGGCCTGGAGCAGGGGCCAGGGAGACCCTGGGAGCCCTGAGGTTGGGGGACAGGGGGAGGTGGGGCAGCAGCCGCCTCAGTACTTGGGGACCTTGCTGTAGTCTTCGGAATGGACGTGCCGGCACAAGCAGATGGACAGCAGCATCCCCAGGAGCTGTCGAGGGAGAGACGGAGCGTGAGAGGGAGGCCCCAGCCCGGCTCCCTGGCTTTAGATCAGAATGAGCAGATTGTCAGCGACAGCCCCCACAGCCACCCCGTGATGCAGGCAGCAGAGGGAGGCCCAGAGAGGGACGGCGCCTTGTCTGAGGTCACGGAGCTGGACAGTGCTCGGGCCAGAGGGCCTCTGCAAGCTGGGGGGGGGGGCTTTCCCCATGGGCCTCGCCTCCCCGAGGACATCAGCAGAGACAACCCCGGAGGACAGAGCGTGAGGAAGGGTGGGGGGGGGACCCAGACCTCGATGACAGCAACGCCCCCACACACGCCGAGGATGACGCCCAGGTTCTCCTGCAGCCACGCCTGCACCTTCTCCATGCAGCCCTGCAAGGGGAGCACACGGCCACGTCACCCCACACTGGGACCCCCCCATCACGCGGAACCACCCAGAGGACCCCCAGCCCAGAGGGCCGGCAGGGAGGCTTTGCGTGCTCCCGGAACGAACGCGCTCACGGGTAAGTAGACGAAGGTGCAAACGAGCAAGTCCGTCAAGGGAAGAAGCCGAATGAAGGGCGGGCGGCGCAGTAGCCCTCCCAGCCCCGCAGCCCCCACACACCTCCTCGTACACAGGCCAGTCCTCGGGGCTGTTACCGCTCTGGGTGCTGTTGCTGGCTGCCTCGCAGAAGCCCTTCCTCAGCGAGAGGCTGTCCTCCTCCTGCCCCTTGTCTTCGCAGGAGCAGGGGTAGGTGACCTCCATGCGATTCATGAGCTCGGCGTTGTCCGTCCAGTTGTAGAGGCTGCCCCAGCCGCAGCACTTCACCTGGGCAGGGCGGGGGACAGGCGGCTTGTGCCCACTGCCCACCACAGGCAGGACACCTCCTGGCAGAGGCTCAGGCCCCCCACCTCCAGCACCCCCGGTCCCAGCCAAACTGCCAGGGGTTAGCGTTTAAGTTTTATTCTGGCTTCTGCGAGCCACGAGGGCTTTCGAGTTGCTTTCGGGAAACATACCATACACTACAAATACAGCAAATATCAGGACCAGCAAAAATACAAAACAGTAGGAGGGAAGTTCAAGTTGAAAAAACATAGGTGTCGGGACATGGTAGAGCAAATGGCATATGGTTGAGAATGTGGGGTTTAAAGTCAGGCTACTGGGTTCAAATCCCAGCTCTGCCACCTACCAGCTGAGCAAGCTTGGACAAGGGACTGGCCTCAGTCTCCTCATCTGCAAAATGGGGATAACAAAGGTTCCTAACTCGCAGGGCTGCCGGGAGGACAGAGTGGGCCAAGCAGGTGAAGGGTCCAGCGCGGGTTGGGAGAGCACAGTGAGAGCTCAGCAAAGATCATTTCTACTTTTCCGTGCTAATGGGTGCGGGAGTTGAGATTTGGCTCTGAAATTGCCAAAGTGCCAAAGTTGCCAAAGTGAAAGAGGAGACATGGTCAATCTGCTGTTTTAAAGGAGAAAATGCTCTAGTTCCAGAGGGAAGAAGGCCTTTCTGGGCTCTGTGTGCTAACAGCTACTGTCCCTGGGAGGATTAAATGGGACAGCAGTGGCACCCAGCAGGGGTCAGTCCCGGGAACCGCTTCCTTAGTCCCAGGCCAGCGACCAGTGGCCAGCAGGGGGCGTGCCAGGCACGCGCAGGAGCACTCGGGCTCCGGGCAGTTTATAACCCGGGTTTCACTTCTGGCGGCCCGGCTGCCTCCTCTGGCAGAAGAGGCTGGCACCTCTGGGGGACACGCAGGTCTGCAGGGCTGGGGTCACCTGAACAAAATGAGGCAGCTCTCCGTGGCCCGTCTACGACACCGCGCAGAGCCCTCCTTTCCTGGGTCCCTTGCCCTGACCCCTGCCATACCACGTCCAGCCTGTGTCTCAACGGTGGTGCATGGTGAGTAAGATGTCGCCACCAACGTGCCACGTAATAAGTGCTGCCCAAGTGCCACAGGCTTTACCAACGCATCTCCCGTGTGCATGGATCAATAGTCCCATTTTATAGATAAGGAAACTGAGGCTCAGCAAAGGTCTAGCGAGGAAGTGGCAGAGTTAATACTCCAGCCCTCGGGAGCCTGACTCACAGCCTGCTTTCCAGAACACTATCACAAGCAGCATCAGAATAATCTAGAAGCCCTGCTACGGGAACCCCCAACCAGCCACCAGCCTCCCATAGTGGGCCACTGACCGCCTCCCAAAGGATCCTCCTCTGCCCCAGGAGCCTTGAAGGGTGGCACCGGTTTGGCCTGGGACATCCGGCTCCCTCTAATCTTAGCAAAGTCTCAACAATTTGGGGTCAAAATACAGGTGTGACCAAAACGTCTCCCTGTGTGCAATGAGCTCCCCAGCTGCCTGATCTCCTCTGCCGGGGCCAGAACACATCACGCTGCTCTTTCCCAGCTTGGAGAATGCCTGGACAGTGTCTATCTCCAAACCCCAGTCGCCTGGTGCTGTGGAGCTGGGCTTCCTCCTGCTGCCCCGACCCTGCCCCTCACTCCCCACAGCCCTCCCCCGAAGGTGCCAGCAGGCCCTAAGTGACCACGGTGTCTGGCGCCCTCACAGGAGAGAGGAGGCTGCAGCCCAGAGAGGGTGGGCCCTGATCACAGGCACACACAGCATCTGGGACCATAAGAAAGGGGAGCCAGGACCTGGTCACTGAAGTCCATTTGTGTGTGTGCCATTGGTTCAACCCTCGAGTCAGGCTGGGAACCCCGTCAGTCGGTCCGTCCATCTGTCCATCTCACTTCTAATCAAGGTGTAACAGACATACACTAATGTGCACAGATTCAGCTTGGTGAATTTTTACGTATGTGCACATACTGGCACAATCACCATCCAGATCAAGATTTGGATAGAACATTCCTTTCACCCCTGAAGGTTCCCTTGGGGCCTCCCCAGCCATGCTCCCCAGAGGCAGCCTCTACTCGGACTTCTCTCCGCACATCAGCCTTGGCACCCTGTTTCTGAACACCTGGGGTGGAGCTCCCAACACCCCCAGGGCTGGGTTGAGGTGAATGAGAGGGTTGACAGCTGCCCCCACACCCCCCACCCTGGGCCACAAACGGATCGCTGTGAGCCATGGAGCTGCCTCCGAGTCTCTGGCCCCCTGAGCAGGAACTGTGGTGTTGGCTGGGCTTCCGGGAGAGAGGGCTGCTCAGGCCTCCCCTGCCCCCAGCAGATACGCTCTCTCCGTCAGACACACTCAGGGACCACAGACACCAGTCCCAGACACACGGGACACCCAGCCCAGAGAGCCCCACGCTGTCCCGCACGGCCTCACCTGGGCCTGCACGTAGTCCCAGGCCTCCTGCAGGCTGTCCGGGTGGCTGCTGTTGTAGTTCCGGATGAGCTCGGTCACGATGCTGCCCATCTCCTGCTTCAGCTGCGGGGGAGGCCAGGATCAGGTCAGACTTCCTGAAACCCGTGCCCCACCTCTGGTCACTCCACTTTGATTGCCTACCCTGTTCCCTTCCAACATCCTTGAGGACGTGCTTACGGCTTCAGCCTCTTTCCTGGAGCTCCCTCGGTGCCGATGCAGTCAGTGCCAACCCCTCTGCCACCAGTCTATTCTGCACTCAGCAGCCGCCTGGCCCCATAAATACCAATTTTTCCACTGCTAAAGACCTTCTAGTGGCCCTCCACCACTCTCAGGAAAAATGTCAACGTCCTCTCAATGGCCTGCGAGGCCCTACACCTTTTGTCCCTGCCCTTCCCAGGCCTCGTTTCCTCTGTTCTGGCTCCCTCTGCTTCAGTTGCACAGGTCTCCTTGCCGTCTCTATGCTAGGCATGTTCCTGCCCCAGAGCCTTTGCACTTGCTGTTCCCTCTGCCTGGAATGCTCTTCCCCTAGACGTCAACATGGCTCACTCTTCTGCTTCCCTCAGGGCTCTGCTTAACTGCCACCTCCTCAGAAAGGCCTTCCTGGACCCCTCCACAAAATATGAGCCCTCTCTATCCCCTCCCTGACCACCCCTCAACCACTCCTTCCCAGGATGTCCTCACCCTGCAAGGGCGAGCATGCTGTGTATTTCCTCACAGCACTGATGTTACATGCGTGCAGGTTTTCAGGGTTTGTCATGTCTCCTCCACTAGCATGTCAGCTCCGTGGGGGCACGGACTGTATCTGGCTTGCTTGCTACAGAGCGAGACAGATACGCCAAGTCCCCAGGGGCTAGTGGGAAGCCCGGCACAGAGAAGGTGTGCGGAGCACAGAGAGATGCACGCGTGCATGGCACCAAAGCCACGCTCACGCGCTCTTCCAGGTACGCCTCGCGCAGAGTGGGGGCCGATGGGCCTGGCCCCTCAGCACCCCGGTTGATGGAACAGCCCTCCCTCCCCCACCCCCCCCTCAGCCCGCGGCAACACCTGGAGTGCAGGCCCTGCCTCTCTGTGACCGGCCGCTGGCCCCAGGGCTCCGCACTGTGCTGCTCCCCCACCTGCTCAGGAATTCAGGGGCACCTGTCTAACCCCGCAGAGAGAACACTGATGTACAAAGAAGACCGACGAGGGTTCAGGGAAAAGGATTCAGCCCCAAAGTCCTCTCATCGGAGAACCCGATCTCGCTACGACAGCTTTTCAGGACCAGGTCAGCTGCGCGAAGGGAGGCGAACCCGAAACCAGCCTCTCGGGCCGAGGATGGGCCTCCCTCGGGCAGGACGCCTGGCCTCTCCCGTGGACCCTGCCCAGAGGCCTTCCCAGGCACGCAGCACGGACGGGCTGGTACAGTCACCCGTGGTTGCCGCAGGGAGCCCCAGGGTGAGGGACCGGAGAGGGCAGGGAAGGCCACATACCTGTCACCTTCGGTTCCTGAGAAAGAGGAACGGGGACAGGTGCTTCCAGGGGGGACCCCAGAGCCCGGCTCCGAGGGAATGCTGGGAGTGGGGCAGCCTGGACCTGGGGCCCTGGCTCCCTGCGCCACCCTCAGTGACACCGGGAAACCAGCCCCCGGGCTGCTGCTCCCTGCACTTCTGCCACGCGGTGACGCTCTTGGCAGGATACTTTTTAATAACAAAACACACAAACAAACAAAAAAACCCCACAAATACCTCATACGGAGTTCTACAATTGACAAAGCTTTCCTGTCAGTAATTAATCATAACGCTAATAGTGGCTGAGCTTTTATCAAATGCTGGTTACGTACCAGGCGTTGTGGTAAGCACTTTTAATGTGGTATCTCAATTTAATCGTCACAGCAGATCTATGGCCTAGGTATTGACCCTGTTCCCTCATTATGGACATGCAGAAAACAAGCCCAGAAAGGTTAATTAACTTGTCCAAGGTCACACAGCCAACACGTGGAAGAACTGAGGTTTGGATCCAGCCTTGTCTGATTCCAGAGCCCAAGTTTTTACCCATTGAGCTTTATCAGTCTTCAAGCCGCATGGTCATGGCTGAAGTAGGTCAGAGCAGTTTTAACTGGGGCTCAGAGAAGCTAAGTGGTTTGGTCGCGTCACACAGCCGGGGCCGTCTGCCTGCAGATCACAGGTCTTTCTGCCCCAACACCTCGGCTCCACTGCTAGTCCCCAGCAGGCAAACGAGCCCCGCAGCATGGAGGGAGGGGGTCCCCAGAAGCATCTGTGCAGAGAGCCACCTCCCCCACATCCTCCCCAACCCACTGAGCTCCCGCACGACACGCCGCCCCCGGGCTCTATTTATACCCCAGTGTGGTTGTCACTGCAGCCTGGACTTCCCTGTCTTCCTCCCCTGAAACGAGAAGGTGACGGAAGCTGGGTGGTTTCCACCGAGACTGGGTGGTTTCCGTGGAAACACCACATCATTTGCCAGTCCGGCATGTGGCTGAGGGACACGGCTGGGCCACAGGGGATGATTCAGCTCGGAACGGATGCCTTGGGACCCCAGTGCCCAGGAGTCCTGTGCCGGGAGCCCAGGGAGGTCACCCTGGCAACCAGGTAGCTACTGAGATAGTAAGAGCCCAGAGGTGGCGTGAGCAGATGTTCATGGTCTCACTACATCCCTGCGGGGACCGCTCTGCTGCTTCTGCCCACCCTGCGCCCATTCTCCCTTCTTCCCGAAGACTGAGGGGTGATCACCCCTCCATCACTCCATGGCTGGGAGGCCCTGCCGTCATGGGCTGTCTACACCCTGGGCATAGTGAGTGGTCCAGGGATGGGCTTGAGACCCAAGGTCACACACACGGCCCTTCTGCTGCTGCGGTGGGACGAGGACCTAGCTCACCTCAGGCTCCACTGGGGACAGCCGTGCCCGAGAAGGGAGCCAACGGAGGAGGGCTGGGCTGAAGGACAGAGAGGGTCAGAGTCCTGGCAGCAGCCTTTGGAAACCTGGACCCTGCTGAGCCCGCAGCCAGCTCTGGCCACTTGGGCACATGCAATGAGGAGTCCTGCCCGGGACCGGCTGGGTATGTCACACCCAGTGCAAAATGAAAACGCGGGCCCCTCGTTTAAAAATGATTAAGAATTTCAAGACGGCAACAGCAGAGCATGAAAGAGAGCACAGAGTCCTTTGAAGCGTGGGACACTGTGTGGTCCCATAGGTCGCATGCCTGGAGAGCCAGCCCGTGCCCTGCCCTCCACCCTCTTCCCCATTTCCCAGGAGAGAAAACCGTGGCTCAGAGAGTTGGCACGAAGTCCAAGATCGCACAGCTAGCAAGCAGCAGAGACACGACCGTGACCCTGATCCACGCAGCTCCGGGGCCCTGAGATCCAACCACGGCGAGCCATCACCGCCGGGCCAGAGATCCCACTGCCCTCTGGTGCCTCTACTCTCTTCCCATGGTGACGCTGTGCTTTCATGTCACCTTGTAGTGTGACTTCTCACAGAGAGTCAGAAGAGAACTTTGAGTCCAGCCTATCATTCAAAGGTGAGAGTCCTCCCATACTGTTCCAGGATCTACTTCGATGCTCCCTGTGATGGGGAACTCAGCACCTCACACAACAGCACAAGGCAGAGGACTCATTTTTTGTCATTGTGCCCAAATGATTCCTACACACTTGTATTAGTTTGTATCTTCCCCCAACCCCCTAAGTCCCAACTGGGACAACATAGAACAAATCCAATCTCTCTCTCCCAGGACAAATATCATTCAGATATTGGAGACCAGTCTCTAGGGTAACTTTACCCCCTCTTTCCGGGGAACTTTCCAGGCTCCTGTGCCCGTTCCTGGGGATGGTGCGCAGGCCTCTCCCATGCTCCTTACTCTAATGGGTCCAGTCGCCCCTTACAATGAGGCACCCCGAATGCAACGTAAAGGACCCCCATTCTCCCATCCTCTCTCCTGGTTTCCCACGGGAGATGCTTTGCTGGGACGCAGATATGCCAGCTCTGAGGCTTCTTCCCGGCAGGGAACCAGGGCGCTTTGCCACGGCGAGGGAGGAGGTGTGTGCTCTCCATGACCACTGGGTCTTTCCTGAAGGCCCAGCCGCACCCCACATCATCAGCCACCCCGGAGTTCAGAGCCAGCACCGGCCCGTGCGAGGGAGACTCTGTTCAAGTTTCTCTCCGTAATCCCTTCAGGCGGGGCACCCTGGACACCCCCTTTTCCTTTCCTAACAGAGAAGAGAAATGTCACCTCTCCCTGTGCCCCCATAGCCTGCTTGACCATAGAAACCCAGGCCAGAGGACTAGAGAGTTCCGATCCAGCAGGCAGACCCTCACACAGAACCGCGTTGGCCACTAGGAACCCGTCTTACCACCCGTGCCAGGAGGGCACGTGTGCACTGGTGATTTGGGGCTTCCTGGGGGAGAGGGCAGGAGGAGAAAGGGAATCACTGTTCTCTGACCCACCTCTCCGGGGAGCAGGCCGGCCCAGCCACTGTCACTGCCCCCACCTCCGGCCAGGCCAAGCGAGCCCCTTCCTCTCCAAGCTCTCAGCCCCCAGGCCTTCTGCTCCAGCCACCGATATAAGCTCTTGGAGCCCCAGCGGCCTGCTCTGCACAGGTCATTGCGTTAGCGGTATGGCCCACCTGAGCACACTGAGCCCAGCACCCAGCATGCCATAGGAAACAGTTGACCTCCGCTTCCTTCCTTGTGACCCCCTTCAACCCTCCCCTGTCTGGAGCAAACAAGTCAGAATCCCAGAATGCCAGAGCTGGGAATGGCCCAACAAAGAGGTCACACGTGGCTCAGAGAGGCAAGTGAACTCATCCAAAGCCACACAGCAATCAGTGGCAGGGCCTACCCCCTGAATCCCAGACCTGGGCTCTGCCCACTAAACAGAGGCCAGAAAAACAATCAGATAAAGAAACAGCCAGAGGGCTCTTAGCTTCACATCCAAGCCCTGGTTCCCACAGCCCTTGCTCTCAACACTGACGTCAACAGGAACAGCTGCCATTTACTGAGCCCTCACCAGGCTCTGACGAAGCTGACGGTGGTGGCAATACTAATAAACACTCGCAAGGATGCCAGCGGCGACATCTGCTCTGGGCCAGGGGCTGTGCTAGGCCCTTCCCATGCCAGCACTTCATCTCTGCCACAGCTGCGAGGCAGCCCCTGGGGCTCCAGAGCTGAGAAATGTTCAGATCTTAGAAAGGGGGTGGACAAGTCACACCCCGAGCGGGGTCTGGGGCCGCACGCTGCAATCGCTCCATTCGTATTTCCCGAGGGACACCTGAAGCGGGTAAGCACAGACCAGAAATAGCCTCGCTTCCGTTCAGGTTCTGTTGTGCCACCAAATGAGTTGCAAATTCTACTTTTGGTTTTCAAAGCATTTTTTGGATTTCAGAATTGCCGATAAGGGGCAGTGGGCCTGTGTCATTACTACCATCTGACAAATGAGGAAACTGAGGCACAGGGAGGCCGCGTAACTTGGCCAGGATCTCAGAGCAGTGGTTCTGGAGTCGAAGCCCTTGGCCACCACTCTATATGTTATAAATGTGTCCCAGTCTGTGTTTCCCCTTCAACCCTGGGCAGGGATGGGGGGTCAGGGCAGGTCCATTTTCCCCAATTTATAGAGGTGGAACCCGAGGCTCTAGAGGCTACATGCCCTGCCCGAGGCCTCCAGCCTCCCCATCGCTGCCCTGGGAACAGTGGCTTCCGGGATCAGGGGCAGGAAGGACAGACTGCAGCCCCGGAGACCACTGCAGGGGCAGCCCCGAGGTCCACTCCCACCCACCTGCCAGGAGGCCCATGGGGAAAAGATGGGGCCCATCTCCTTTCAAAAGGCCTTTATCCTCCAGGCTCAGACAAGTCCCACCTCCCCAGCTGGGCCCATCTGCAGGAATAAACACCATCAAGGGCATGTTTAGTCTTCCACTGAAATTTACAATGTGCTAGGAAAGAAAAAAATAAATCATTCATTCCAACTCGGACGATATGGCGGCACCAGAACTTCCCCAGGAAAGCCGGGAAATTTCCAGGCAGGCTGGGACGGGGTGGGGTGGGGGGCGAGGTGTGGAGCCTGGGGAGGGGGATGGGAGTGACAGGGGAGGGGAGGGGACGGTAGGGTACAACGCCCAGAGTCTGGACTGGAGCCAGGAGGCCCGATTCTCCAAGCAAGCCCTGTTCTGGGGCTGGCGGGACGCTCTGAGGCTCAGCTCGCCATTGTCGGCCAAGCAGAGATTTTACCAGCCCCTGGGGAGGCAGTGTGGTGTGGAGGGAGGCGCTGGCCTTGGGTCAGAGGGATCTGGAAGGACATCCCATTCTGATGCATCAGAGCTGTGTGTGACCATGGCCAAAAGTCACTCTGCTTTTCTGGGCCTCAGTTTCGTAAAATGGAAAACGTTTGTACAATTGAAATGTGTGCTTCAGCTCACATCACTAGCTCAGCTCCTGGCATGTGGTCGCTGCCATCTTTATTACCGTGAGATGGTAAATCGCATGGGGTGAGAGGGTAGACTGCCTGAGAACCCTACAGAGGCAACCAGCTTCTGAGTCATAGGAACCAGCTCACTGGGGCCTGGTTCTGATCCCCCTGATCCAGCCCCAGCTGCCATGGGGCAGAAATAAGACCTGACCCTACAACCCTTTTGCTAGGAAAGGACTTTCCCTCCCCTAACCACTGGCTTCCTGTCTCATAGCCAAATGAGCTTTTTTTCATCTACTGAATCCACTATTTCCCCTTTTGCCTTGACTGCCAGGAAGCTCAGCACCACTCAAGTTAGCCCTCAGCTGCCAAGAGTATCTCAGCCTCTGGTTTCAGGAACAATGGTCTTCCTCTCTCAGTGTAGGTTCTGCTCCTGCTGTCGCTGTCTCTCTCTCTCTCTCTCATTTTGGTTTTAGCTACCCCGTGCCTATGATTGGAGTCAGCTGCAATTCTCCTAGGAAACAAGCTGGTTGTGGATTATAAATAAATAAATCAGTTCCAGGTAGAAACTACCACAGTGGAAATTTCCCTGGCATGAACTCCGAAGCCAGGTTGTGTGGGTTCGAATCCTGGCTCTGCCCCTTGTAGCTGTGGGAGCTTGGGAAAGTTGCTTGATCTCTCTGTGCCTCAGCTTCCACATCTGAAAATGAGGGTAGCAATATCCATAATCCCATAGGATTATTGGGAGGAATAATTAAATGCAGTATGTGCAGAGCATTTAGCACTAGGCTTGTTCTAAGTTCTATTAAGTGTTAGCTTTTGATGTTGGTGTAACGTTTTCTTAGCTTCCTTCCAGGTCAAGTGCGGCAACTTGACCTCCAAGTGGTAAAATGCAGAAGTCCACCTGGCTGCTGGCTCTGGCACCTCCACCACCGGACAGGAGCTGGTAGCGCTGGAGAGCAGCAGGGCCCCAGGGCTCAGCTGGGCCATGGGCCACATGCAGCGGGGTCTGGGGAAGGGTAAATGCTGAGCTCAGAGCCAGAGAGCCCAGGCTGCCCTCACTTTGCCTGCAGGATAGAGATTCTCTCTCGACCTCGCGAGGGCCCAGTGAGGGTCAGTGAGAGAATGAACGGGAAGTAGCCAACACTGTGCTTGGTATCTGGTGTGCGCCACATCAACTGTAGGGACAGTGGGGCTCACCGTCACCGTTCCTGATGTTGTTCTTGCGATTCACCTCTGAGCACCTGCTTCTCCATCTGTCAACATAAAACTTAACCCGCAGAGCTGATACGAGGACAAGATAATGTACATAAAGCTTCTGGAAGATACCATGTACACACAGTAGGTGCTCCATGCGTACTAACTGTGACGGTCACGATTGAGTGGCTTACCCAGCAGCCAGTACTGGCTCCTTCCTCTTTCATGCCACTGTCTTCAGGGTCTGAGAGCAGGACGCTCACTTTCTCAGCCTCCCTTGCAGCCAGAGGGGCCTTTGTACCCTAGTCTGGGGAGGTCTGTTGGAGAGCTTGCTTTTCTGATAAAAAAGATGGTCATGGCTGGCATTGCCCACTTCCCTTCTGGCCACGGGAGTGGAGATGTCATGCCTGGTGCTGTGGCAGCCATCATGTAGCCATGAGGTGAGGGTACATGATGCAGAAAAGCCATCACAGTGAGGGTGCTGGACAGATAACTAGGACCAGGGTCTCTGTGCTTCCAAACCAGACTCTGGCTAAGTCCACAACAAACGCTCTTAGAGTTAAAGCCACAGTAAGTCTGATTTTCTACTTCCGAAAGCTGAACACCTCCCTCTGACACAGGACTGATGCTTTTTATTAATAGTCTCCTTCTGGGCCTCATCTGCGATGAGTGGCATGGATTTAACACTTGCTAAGATGTCTTAATAATAACAAGGATGATGAACGTTTATTGAGTGTTTATGGTGCTCGCACCGTGCTAAGTGTTTTATGAAGAAGATCTCGCAGAATCCTTGCAACCACCCCAAGAATGAAGTGTTACTGTTATCCCATTTTACAGATGGTGCAACGGGCACACAGAGGCAAGCAACCTGCCCAGGGCCACACAGCTGGAAAGTGGTGGCATCAGGCTGAGATTCAGGCCCAGCAGTGAGCCTGCCCACGCCTGCCCATGCCTGCCGCCGCCTCCTGTTATGTTCTGGCCCAAGGAACCGGTGGTCAAGGGGACCGTCCCTGGCACCTGTTGGGACTGTCTGTGACAACGGAGAGGCTTCTTGTCCATCCCCCACATCCAGGGTCCATCCCCCTGTGTGGCCAGTCCAGCCCAGTGAGGGGCGGGGAGAGGGAGGGAGCTTACCTTGCCCATGTTGAGGTAGAAGAGGACCCCAGCAGCCACCTGGACGATGAGGATGACGAGGAGGAAGGCAAAGTACTGGGGACACAGAGCAGGCCCAGAGTCAGCTGTGGCCCCACCAGCCTCACCCATCCCACTTGCCTCGGGAGATGTTCTCCACCCAAAGTTCAGGCAAGCGCAGTGCTCAGGCCCCGCGTGGCGAGGTGAGGGGCCAGGAGGGCAGTGCCTGGGCTTGGGGGGCAGGAGGGCTGCACTCACCAGCCCTAGCAGGCAGCGGACCTCGTTGACGGCGCCGATGCAGCCCAGGAAGCCCATGAGCATGGTGACTGCCCCGACACCAATGAAGATGTAGGCCCCCGTGCTGAGTGAGCTGGAGGAGGTTTCTAGGGGGAAGGAGAAGGCATCCACTCACAAAGTACAGAATCGTTAAGCCCAAAATCAGAGGGCCCGGCAGGTACAAACACCTGGCCTAACCTTCCGGTCTGCCCTTTGACACCCTCTGTGGAGCTGGGGTGCTGGGGTCAGCCTCGTTCCCCTGCTGGCCCCTCGCCCCCTTTGGAAGGCTCCTTAGCTGGATGAGCCCCTCCTCCAGGTCAAATTGCAGCCCCCACCCCAATCCAGCCCAACCCCCATCCCTGCTTTGCTTTTTCTCCTTAGCCCTGATCAAGGCTGAAGAGACTCTACATTTTACTGATTTTTCTTGCTCACTGTCTGCCCACCCCTGCCCTCTCCAGGAAGGTGACCTGCACAGGGGCCGGGGCTTTGGTTCATTCCTGCAGAACCCGGAGCTCGCAGAACCGTGCCTGGCGCAGTGAGGCGCCGCACACGCCGAGTAGCTGCGGAACTGACCTACGATGGGCCCGTCAAGGTTCCAGGCTGATTTCTGTTCTGCCTGCCCTCTCGTCCGTAAGATAACAAACAGCAGCCTTTCCTGCTACTCACTGTGCCTGAGGGGCTTCACACATGCCGTCCCCAACCCTGACGTAACCCTGCCTGGCAGGCACCAGCGTGGCCATTTCCCAGAAGAGGAAACTGAGGCTCAAAGAGGTGCACGGGGGGTGGGGGAGCCAGAGCTGGGATTTGGAAATCACAACCCTCCAATGCCACGCTCTGTCCTCTGATGCGTGGGGCCCACACCCTGGTACAGGCGTGGTGCCCACCCACTCATTCAGCTGGCAGATACTCACCGGGTGCCCAGCTCATGCCGGGCACCGTGCCGCTGGCTGGGGACGCAGAAGCGAGGCTGACAAGGGGGTGGGGGAACGCGTACACGGTACGGGATTTCTGGTTGTGTCGGGGCCACGAAGGTACTGAGGCTGCCGACAGCGCAGAGCGCGACGGGGCAGGGAGAGGGTGGGATGGCCGGGAAGGCGGCCTGGGCAGGCGCTGTCGGCCCGGACGTGAATGGAGAAGTCAGCAAGTGAATACGGAGGGAAGAGCACTCCAGGCGGCAGGAACGGCAGGGGCAAAGGGCTGAGGAAGGGTAAGCTTGGTGTACAAGAGCGGAAAGAAGGCAAGAAAGAATGCGCCAAGGGCGAGTGACAGAGCGGTCCAGCAGGCAACGGTGCGTGGGCACGCGGGGAGGGCCTGATGGCCGGGACCCTCTTCAGAGCTGCCGGTGCACAGAGCCCACCCAGTGGGTGGAGGTCAGAGCACTTGACCAGCATTTCCTGAGAAGCCCAACCGATCCACAGGGAAAAGCCCATGTCAGTCCGCTCTACCCCCAGGGTGTTGTGATTCCCCTGGGGGGCCAGGTGGAGGCTCCCGCACAGGCAGGTGGCTGCGGACGGTTCCTGCCACGGCCCCAGGCACTCTGGGAGGCTGGGCATCGTTTCCAGGAGGCTGGAGAGCAGTGTGGATCGAGGAAGCTCTTAGGGATGCAGATGCCCACAGGCGCCACAGCCGGACAGACTCCCTCAGCAGAGGGCCGAGAATCTGCACTTTTAAACTGCTCCCTAAGGACTGAGGCACAGCCAGGGCTGACCGCTGACCGTCCCAGGGAGAACGCAGGCCTGGCAGGCCATGACCCCCTGGGGACCTCGGAGTGGCTGAGCTTGGCCCCTTTGGGTGTTAGCACCCTAAGGTATAGCTACCAAGCTGGGGGGTGGTGGCTTCCAGATCCAGCTCCACTTCCTGGTCACAGAATGTTCTGGAGCTCAGGAAGTGCCCCACTCTCAGGCTGCCCCCGCCCAGCTTCCCACAAGAACCCCCAGGAAGCTGGGCGGAGCCCCGCAGGGTGAGTGTGGGGGCCTCTGGAGCTGAGCCCAGCCCTCCCCGCCAGGCCCTCCCCGCTGGTCTGCAGCAGTCGGCGTGGGCAGGGAGAGGCCATCGGTTCCATTTTTCCTAAACTTCCTGGATTTGGCTTCCAACAATTCCTCCCAGTGATTACTCCCAGAAAAAAGAAACTGGCACTGCCCAAAAAGCCACTGTGTGCCAGCCCCGAACAAGGCCCTTTATCCGATTGTCCTGCTTAGTTTCATGCGAGTGAGGCTGCGCTCACATCCTGACCTGTCTGCAGGCTCAGAGAGGCAGTGGGGCCGGGAGGTGCCCAGCAGGAGAGGCCTGGGCGAGACCCCCGCTCAGCCCCTCGCCTGGAGCCCAGCCGAGCCGCGGGGTCTGTATCTCAGAACGGCTCACTGATTCCAGTCTCTGTCCTTACGCAGGGCCCAGGTCCGCCCCAAATCTGGGCAACCTGACTTAGGAAGGGGGCAGGGGCCTATCCTGGGGTAGCCCACCCGCTGCGCACGACAGAACAACCCTTTAACCTTCCTGGGCCTGGCGGGGACTAGGGAGGTGGGAAGGAAGTGGCCCACACGGAAGGGGCTGGGGGCCAAGAGAAGCGTTCTCACCCCAGCTCTGCTGCTACCAGGCTCCGAACTGGGCAAGCCGTTTTCTATTCCTTTCTCTACAAAATGTGACTAAGTCCTGCTTCTTAAAGATATTAAAAGGATTAAATTTGTATTATAAAACTTAGTCACTTATGCAGGGCCTACTGCTCACTAGGAGTGGTTCTAAACTCTTTCCAGATAGAAATGGCTGATTGAATTTCCCGTGATAACCTCACGAGGTACATTCTATGATTATTGCTATTTCACAGGTGAGCAGACACAGAGAGGTGAAGTAATGCGCCCAGGGTCACAGAGCTGGCGGGCAACACGGCCATGCCTGGACCCCGGCAGTCTGGCTTGAGTCTGCCCTTCACCCAGGCACTAACCAGTGGCAGACAGCAGAGCCGTTGGTACAGGGGTTCAGGGCACGGGCCGGGTGCCAGGCCACCTGGTCTGCATCCCAGCTCCCCCGCCTGCTAGCTGCGTGCCCCTGGACGAGGTGCTTCACCTCCTCTGACACACGGTGAGAGGAACGCCCAGCCCCGTGGACCCACGGTGAGGACTCGCTGGGTAAGGAAAGCGCTGAGTCACACAGCCTTGGTTCCCGCCTCTGCCCTCGCTGGCTGTGTGACTCTTAGCAAGTCGTTCTCCACCCCTAGCCTCAGTTTACCCAAGTGCATAGTGCCTGGGCTCGCAAATCAGTGTTTCTGAACCCTGGCTGCCTGGGGATCATCTGGGGAATGTCTGACAAACGCCAGCGCTCAGGGCCCCACCTGCACTCATGGAGTCAGATCCCTGGGGTGGGTGGGGCTCACGGCATTTGTAAAAAGCACCCCTGCTGCATCCTGTAAGCCTTCGAGGTCTGGCCAGCTCCAGATTCTCAGACCCGAACAGGGAGGAGGCTGGGGTTGCAACAGGACACTCCCCCGACCCCAGTCCGGGGGCAGGGTGCAGAGGGCAGAAATGAGAAATGCCAGTGGGCGGGCTGGGCCCTTAGACTGTGCCCTGGGGTGCAGAGTCTGCTGGGCGTGGGCCACAGCCCAGGAAGGTGGAGCCTAGATCTGATCAGGGCCGAGGAGGGTGTGTCCCACTCTGGGAGGGCACAACCTAACCCCAGAAGAGGCAGAAATTGATAGCCCTGGGGCACATCGGATGTGGCTAGAGGGTGGACCATCCTTGCTTCCCATCTCATGGAGGGGAGGCCTAGCCCCTGGGGGCCAGAGTGACAGATGTGGCCCCTCCATCACCACATCCTAGCTAGGTTCCGTTTTATTCAAATCAAGCAGCTGTCATGGGCCAGAGTCCAAACCAGTCGCCCTGGGCAGCTGCTGGGCGGGGAAGTGTGCCAGGCTGCACTCAGTGAGGGGGCACGGCTGTGCTCCCCGGAGCCTCTGCTGGGCCTCGGCGCACCGCACCAAGCCCCAAAGGCTTCCCGGAGGAGGCTGAGTAGACCTGGAGGGGCTGTTATCCATGCAAGAATGCCGTGGCTCCTTGGCTCCTGCCCTAAGGAGTGAGAGAGGAGCTTCCAGGCTGTGGCTCACGTGACTTCACTTCTCTGAGCCTCTGGTTCTCCACGGATGAGGCAGGAGTAGAGTATTATCTGCCTCACAGGGCTGTTGTGGGATTAAGACGGTTGATACATGCAAGTGCCTGGCACACGATGAGCGTGATAAAAGGCAGCTGTGCCTGGCACCCTCGTGGGCACACGCCTGACCTTCCTAGCGCTGCCTGGCTCATGGCAGGTGCTTCAGCAACCCCCAACGTAACACCCCGTCTTCCCTGGCTCCTTCCTGCATCTCTCTGAAATGGGGAAGGAGGGGCTGCTGCCCACGTTCTGCCGAACGCAAGGGAAGGAAAAAAAAAGGAAAAAACCTTCCCAAAGTCAAGGCCAAAGGAAAGGCCCAAGAAAGGAAAAAAAACCCCCCTCATACCCCAGTGTTCTCCAGACAACAGTAGCTTTGTTTGGGGAAGAAGAGAAAATTTCTTCTGGAAACCCCTGCCTTGGGACCCATGGTGCAGTGGTCACCAACAGGACCTGGCCACGTCCCTGAGGTCAGCTGGAAAAGCGAGGCATTGAAGCTGAAGTAGTCGTGGGACAGCTCTGCCTGCAGCCCCAGTCCTCCCCCCACCGCGGGCGGGGCTTCGGGGAAGCAGAGGGGTCCTTACGCAGGACAGAGATGAAACTGCTCCTGTCGGCCAGGATCCACACCCCAAAGCCCAGGATCACCGCGCCCAGGATCTGGAAGGAGAAGGAGAAGAGGGCAGTTAATGGGGGGCCCAAGAGTAGGTTGCGTGAGAGCTCCCCTCCCCAGCTACCGCTGTGGCCCAGGCCGGGCAGGGAAGGGCTAGGGGACACAGAGGGAGACACCCCCTTCTGCTCCAGCCCAGCGATGTCAAGATGTCCTCAGGGCCCAAACCCCAGCAATCCAGCCACAGGACCCTGTGTAGGGGATCCCTCCTGCCAGGGCACCTTTCCCGTGCCTGCTCCTCCACTCCGGCCCGGCTCAGGGCCCAGAAGCTTCTCTAAGAAGCTGGGATCTGGGGAAGACTCTCCATGGACTTGAACATCAAAGCCCAGCTTGACTTCAGGTCTCGGTGGCAGGTGGCTTCCCTGACTCCCCGGGGCAAATGAAGGTGCCCGCCCCCGTTCTGTAGCAACCACTGCCTGACCCCTCTTAACAGCCATTCCCCCGGCCTCTCTGCTGTGTTGGTTTCTCTGGCTCAACTGTGAGCGGCAGAGGGCAGGAATGCACCCCTGGCAGTCCGACAGCACCAGGTGCTGGGTAGCTGAGGGAAGGAAGGAGCTCAGGAACCAAACTCTGCAGACGCAGGTTAGGAAGGAAAATGAATGAGGGGTGACGAAGGTGACAAATGAGGGCCCCAGGCCCAGGGATTCCCTACCTTCCTCCCTCCCCCTGGGTGGGGTCCACAACGTGAGCTCACCTCCCAGGTGGAGTCCCAGCCGAGATCCACCACCGGGCAAAGCTGGCTAAGCAGGGAAAGTGCCTATGGTCTGGGCAAAGCCACAGGTTCCCTTTGGGGGTGGTCCTGTGTCACCCCACAAGGCTGGATGTTACCTGGGGCCAGGACTGGGCCCACCTGGTGGATAACACACCTTGAGGGTCCCACCTCTATCACCAGCCACCATCCCATAGTCCCAGGTCCGAGGCTAGCAGCTGCCATTAGCCCTCAGCCTGGGGTTAGCATGGCCCCAGGGTCTCACAGCCTTGTTCTGTTGTTATTAAAGACGAGAGCCAGGACCACAGCAAGGCACGAGGCACCTGCCTCAGGCACAACATGTGAGAGGGCACCAAAAACCCAGTTATCAAGATAAACAATATTTTGCAGTAATACTTTAAAAATAAAATTAACGCAAAAAAATCCATGATGAACTATTAAACTTTGAAATAAAATTTTGATAGGATTTTCCTTTTATCCCAGGCCCCAGAGTGGCTGGGTGGGGTGCCGCCTCTCCCGCTTCACCCTCAGCCCAGCTGCCTTAAAGACCACCGCAGCTGGTGACCAGACCACGGCCATAAAGGCGTGGTGACCTCCCCACATTTGTCCTCCACCTTCCCCGACACTCATCATTAAGGCATCAGGTGTCCTCTCTCCTAGTGAAATGGGCCCTGCAACTGTCCCCATTTTACACACGGGGAAACCGAGGCTCTGATTTCACGCTTCAGGGACTGGCAGCCAGATGGTGGCAGGTGAGTGTAGGGATGTTTGGGGTCTGTCCGGGCCTTAGCCCAAAGAGCCAGTCTCGGGGGACAGGAAAGCGGCTGAGACACTGGGGAGGGGAAGGGTCCTCTTGAGGAGGCGGCCCCCCGAGTCTGCACAGCTGGGAGGAAGGGGGCTGTCCGGGACCTGCAGTTTGCTTCCCAAAGGCTCCCGCAGCCCTGCCCACCCCAATCCTCAGACTATGTGGGCAGAGCCCCCTGCCTCATTCACGAGTGGGCCAGGAGGGAGGACAGCCCCTCCAAAAAGGGAGTGGGGGCGGGGCAGAAAATTCCTTCTGGGCAAACATAATCCCAAGTAGATCAAAATCCCAGACTGCCCAGCTAGCTCTTCAGCTCGCCAAGAGGAACCCAGAGCACCAGGTCCCTGGCTCTGCCTATTTGGTCCCTCTGTGGGTCTGATGACCACAGCGTGGCTGGACCAGCGCTGGGCCACGGCCTACCAGCACGGGTGAGGCACCACGGACCCCCTTTCTCTGTGAGCCAAGACTGGGGTCTGGGGTGCACCCCACATTAACCACCCCCGCCCCTCGCCGCAACCTCCGGAGGGGGCTCAGCCAGGCGCCAGGACCCCGGCTGGGGTTAGGCTGCGAGTGCCCTTCCCCCTGGACAGCCACAGCACCAGCCGCCTCTGGATGTCTTTGAACCTGAGAAGAGCGGACGGGGCAATTTACCAGGGAGTGTGGGGTCGGGAGGGCCCGCGGGCAGGGAAGAACACGAGCACACGCGGGCAGGCGCCAGCACACGCAGCAGACAGAGCAATTTTTCCAAACCACAAATCCGATCACGTAACCCCTTTCCAATGCGCATGAAACACAGGCCAAAACCCTCCTGAGGCAGGCCGCACCGTCTGGGCCTGGAGGGGCACGCTGCCTCTCCCTGCTGCCGGGACCCCTCTCGCCCCGGCCACACTCAGAACCCCAGGAAGCTCCTGGTCACGTCCGGGCCAGGCCAGTGCCTCATCATCCACTTTGCTAGGGCCCTTCCTAGCACCCCACAACTGCAATTTACAATCCACTCGAGCAGTTACTGGCTTGAAGCCCACCGCCCCTGGGTCACAAGCCCTGTAAGTGCACAACCAGGGCTCTTCTGCCTGCAAACATCTGAGTACACAGAGGTGTCGGACACGTTTGTCGCAGTGATGAGTAAATGAACAAACACGCGCTGCCTCCTCCAACCCTCTTCCTGCGCCCCCGACCCCAGCCCACGTCCTGAGGGCTTGCCCTGGGCCCGGCACACAGACAGTTAACGTGTGACTCCCGCCAGCCCCCAGGAGGAGCGGGAAGGAGGCCAAGGCCTAGATGGCCCCAGACCAGCTCCCAGAGCTCTGGCCAGAGAGAAGATTTTCCAGTCTCTGGTTCCGTGGGGCAGCCTGGGAGCGGGACGGAAGGGACACGTGGCCAAAACCATCAACCCCACCCTCTTTCTCTACTAGGTCTCCCTGTCCCACCCTGCCACCCCCTGCCCACCGTGGCATGGAGGAAAGTTTCCATACCCCTGAAACTCAAGGCCCGCTACCCCCTGGGCCAGCACCCAGATTCCTCTCTCAAGACCCCGAACCCCCCTGGGACAGAGCCGCAGTGCTCTGCCCACAGTCCCGGCCCGTTGGCCCTTTACTGTAGGTCTCGCTCCAGATGCCAAGTGCCTGCCAGGGAAGGCTCAGCTTCGCCTGCACGAGCAGCTGCTTCCCAAGGTCCTGGGCCAGGTGGGAGGGACCTGCCCGCCACGCTGGGGAAGCCCAGGCCCTGCCCGGAGTGGGTTCCAGGCCTGGCTGCCATGAGCAGATGGCCGCAGCCACCGTGGGGCCTTAGCATGGTTCTCGAGGAAGGAGCTGGGGCCAGAGCCAGGGTGGACAAACAGGGTGGACAGGGCAGGCAGCACCAGGGCTGTCATGTGTGTGTGTGCATGTGTGCGCATGTGCCAGGAACACACGTGTACATATCTGTGCACTGGGTTAAAGTTATGAAGGGGGATTTAGAGGATTGTTTTCTTTTTTTTTTTTAGATTTTAAAAAAATTTATTTGTATGATTTTAAGGAGTACAAGAGCAGTTTTGTTACATGAACATGTTGCGTAGCAGTGAAGTCTGGGCTATTCGTGTGACCGTCACCTAAATAGTGTCCATTGTACCATCGAGTCAGAAAGGTTCTTTATTTTCCAAACTTCCTATGATCCTATGTAACTTGTGATGTAAAACTCTCCCCCACCACAAGTAACTCATACCTGCTGTAGAAAATTTGGAAAGTACAGAGAAGCACAAAGAATAAAATAAAAATTCCCAGGAATCCCAAAATTAACATTCATAGGGATTTTCTTCTCCTCTCAAAAATATTCATGTTTTTATGAACATACACATTTTTAAAAATAAAATCGGATCCTAACAAATACCTATTGTATAAATGGACTTTTTAGCAGTATAGGGTGAACAGAAAACGTGGAGAAGCCACAGGCCCCAGCACCACTCTGGGGCTGGGAAGGCCACACTCGCTCACACACTCACACCCGCTACCCTGCCAGCTTCGGCGCAGGAGTTTGTCGGTGCCAGGCCAGAGGGGAAAACCGAGGTCCCAGGAAAACCAGCTCCAGATGTGCCACGGAGCTCATGTACGGGCAGCCGGTGGCTGGGAGACCTGGGGAGGCCTGCTCGGGTGGGTCTGGGGAACGGGCAATGTGTCCCTCCACGACCCGCAGTCTGGCCTCCTCTTGCTCACCCTATGGGAGCTCAGGGAGCTACACCCCACAACAGGTATGGGGGGGGTCCGGGGGCAAGTGGGGCCCGGAAACGGCAAAAGGAAAGTCCTCACAAGGGGGGGGGAAGCCCGGCAAGAACGGAAAAGCCAAAAACCCTCCTCCAAAAACCCCGCCGAAGAAGTAGGGGGATGCCTGGGGGCTCTCCTCTCCCCACACCCACCTCCAGCCCTGCCTGGCCCAGGCTCCGGGTGCTCCAGAAGAGGAACCCAGTACTTCTCCAAAGAGCCAACTGGGAATGCTGGGAATCTCACTGCCCCCACCCACTTCCACTCTGGACAGTCTGTCCTCAGCCCCCACCAACCGCACCCATCACCCGTGTCCCCCGCCCTGGAGCGGCTCAGGCTGGATGCCCCTGGAGGACAGTTTACTGGGGGCGGTCGGGGCGGCACTGGCCGTACTTACAAAGAACAGCAAGTTGAAGAGGAAGAGAAAGTATTTGGTGACTTTGATGCAGGCCGACCCCATCCCGCCGGTCCTGGAGCTCCCTGGGGAGAAGAGAGAAGGCAGGTCAGCGAGGAGGGGAGCCAGTGCTGGCGGCGCCCAGGACCCCGGCCCTAGGTCATCTCGGGTCGCCATCCCAGCAACCCCACGAAGTAGGTACTAACGCTGTCCCTGCTTTACGGAATGACCAGCCAAAAGCCACGCAGCCAGGACGTGTGGTCCTGTGAGAAGTCTTGGCCACTTGATGCTGGGCAGTTAGGGGCTGCGGCTGCACGGAGGGAAATTACGCAGGGAAACCTCACCTCCACAACCCCAGGCTCTGAGACTCTCCCAGATGGAAGTTAGGGACCTAGAGGTGAGACCTGTGCCTGTTCCATAGGTCTGGGGGCTGGGGGGTCAGGCTGTGGAGGCTTCTCAGAAAACGGACCGAGTGTTCATTACAAAGGGAACGGATGTGCATGGTAGAACACCCAAGAAACACAGAAAAATAGAAATCAAACAAAAATGTTTATGTCATCCCAGAGGTAAACATGGTCGTCATTTTCATAGTTATATTCCAATGTGTGTGTATATATATGTAACAAATACGTTCAAACAAAATTGGGCTGGTCCTGTATAGAGTGTTTAGAGCTTGCTTTTTTCATTCTGTAATATATAATCTCTGAATGCTGATAAAATGTTCTTCTACAACATAATTTTACATGTTGCATAGGATTCCATCCTATTAATCAGTGCTTAACATTTTGGGAGTCACAGACTCCCCCAGAAAATTCACGTATAGGTAACATTTTGCAAATAACTTCTGGGGGTTCGTGGACTCCACGAAACCCACTCTGAAACCCCAATAAGCCCAGGTTGAAGTCCCAGATACAGCCATACCACAAAGCATTTAACCAATACTCTAAGGTTGGACACACAGGTTGTTTCCAAGTTGTCGTAGTCACCCTGGGTGACACAAGTTGTGCTTCTGAAATGACACAACCAGGGCTTGAGCACGCGGCCCCCTTCCACTCCGAAAGATGCCAGGAGAGGGGAAGATCAGGGAGGAAGAGGGGAGCTGGGAGTGGCTGCCCTCACCCCCTCTGAGACCAAACAATATAGGAACAACAACTGCCAGCCCTCAGGCCCTGCAGGGCGAGGGAGCCAGCGCCACCAGGCAGCTGGGACCAGGACAGCTGGCTGGGAACAGCTGCATGGGCGGAGCTCGGCTGGGGTTGGAGGGAAGGCACTAGGCCCGGTTGTGCTCCCGCTGCCAGTGGAGGAGGAGGAGCAGGCCACAGAGAGAGGAAAGAAGGCCTGGGCTTCACCCCTTCCTCCTGCGTACCGTACCGTGTGAAAGGCCGTCCCAGAGTCTTGCAAATTTCCTAGTCAGCACGTAGACGCCCCCCCCATCCTTTTCTGGACACGCCAACAATCCACAATCTTCTGTCATCCTTGCCAAATAGGAGCTCAGCTTCTACCATGCCTCCGGTGAGGGGGGAGGTGGTTAATGGGGAGGGCTCATGCCCTCCCAAGGGGTCCAGTTCAGTTTTCTGGCAGCTTTGTTATACAGGGAGTTTTCTTTAACTCTTTTTTTTTTTTTTTTTGAGACAGAGTCTCACTCTGTTGCCCAGGCTAGAGTGCTGTTGCATCAGCCTAGCTCACAGCAACCTCAAACTCCTAAAGGGCTGATCTGGGCACAATATGAAGCAAAGCTGCCCACAGAAGGAAAAGGCTGCCTGAGTGGTAGTGAGTTCCCTGTCAAATGTGGCATTTTCGGAAGCAAAGTCTGAAAAAAAGACTTATGGAGGATTCAAGTGCTACATGGGGAGATTAGACTAAATGGCTCTTCCGGTCTAGCCTGGTCCAAGGCCTGGGTCTGGGCATTGCAGAGACAGTGCTGACTCAGGAAGCAGGGAAGTCCGGTCTCAGCAACGTCCCCATTGGGCCTCGCCCCAGACCTAGAGGGGAGAAAACATGACTGCCCCGTGTCAGGAGAGCCAGAGATCAGAGATCTGAGATCCCAAAGCCAGGCCTGGCTGGAGGAAGGCCTGCTGGGGGCCGCAGGGCATCAAGGAGGGCTATTGTTTCTCCTCCCGCCTCCCAGCAGAGCGCCTGACGAACCACAGGCACTTGAACAAAGCAGCAAGAGGAGAGAGATTCTCTCCCAGAGCCAGCCAAGCCATGTTTTCCTTTCCTACCACAGACCCGCTTTGCTTCAGCCTGGCTGGGTCTCCTCCCAGCAAACGACACGGGGCAGGCCCCAGGGGACCAAGCCAGGCTTGGCGCCCGGGCGGCAGAGACAAGCCTTCATCTGACCGCAGTCGAGCCGCCACGCGTCTTGAGTGACGGGGCCGTTGGTGTCCTTGTGAAATTGGAGAGATGTGGAAAGAGCTCTTTGGCAACCCTGCGTCAGACCCTCTCCGTCGCGCGGTTTCAGAAAGTTCGGGAAAGGGGTTTCTACACTTTCCGGCTCATGCGTCCTCCGGGCAGGATGGGTCTCCAAGGTCAGCCTGGGGAGGGGGTGCGGGGGGCGTTCGGCAAAGGGCGGTTTTAGAAAAGAGCAACTGTGGGGGCTGCTGAGGAAGAAGCCCCCGTGAGCTGCACGGCCAGCCCTGGAGCTGGGTTTCCCATCCTTGGTGCACCCGAGGCTCAGACAGCTCAAGTGACTCCCCAAGTCACACGGCTCATAGACGGCGGTGGGTTCCAGAGTCCAGGGTATTTCCACTGTGAAGTGCTCCCTTCCGGGTGGTGGCCGAGACTATAAAGGGATCTCTGGGGTGGCCTGGATTCCTTTATCCAGATGGGTGTGAGGACAAAAGTGGCTGCTCAAAGGTGCTCTGGCTTGGTGGGCAAGAAGGTGGCTGGGAAACGCATTGCCAAGGCCCCAGCCTCGGGCCCCTGCCCACAGCAGACGCGGCTGGGCTGGAATCCCCCTGATGTCCCAGGCCCTGTGCAATCTTGGCTGGTCCCTTGGCCACTCACATAAATTGTATCAGGCACTGGGCTAAGCCCTTCCGCACCCTGTGAGCAAATGGAGGCACAGAGGGGTGAAGGAACATGCCAAGGTCACCAGTAGGTGGACCACCAAGGACAGGGCCCAGGCCACTTGGCCCCTTAGGCCACCTGTCCACCCATCTGCTCCCTCTCACGCAGGAGGCAGCCGGGTGGGTTTAGACGCTGAGGCAAGAGCCAGGCAGCCCTTGACTGGCAGGCAGCTCAGCCAATCAGGAAGGACCCAGGGGCTACCTGGGCATTGCCTGGGGGAGAAGAAAGTGGTGGCCAAGATCCAGAATACAAAGTCTTTCTGCCCTGCAGGTACAGCATCTCCACCTCACAGCCACAGCAGGGGCGAAGAACATTCTCTACACTTGGCAGGAGATAGTGGTTCCACGAAGGGCAGGAGGTCGGCTCAGCTCAGGCTGGGGACACACCCAGGTCGCCCCATGACAGGGTGTGGCACCAACTTCAGGGAACCCACAACCACCACCAAACCCCAAGGAGACCCCGAAGCTGGATTCGGAGGGCCTGGGGTTGATTGGCTCCGCCCTCCCATGCTGAGCCTCGGCCTCTCAGTCGTGAGCCAGAAACGAGTTTGGCGGGGGCAGGGGTCTGCTAGCTGCAGCCTGTGGCCAAATCCTGCCCCCTGACTACATCTCGTGAGCTGAGAACAGATTTCACCTTTTCAAACCTTCTTCAACACATGCACGTTGCGTGGAATTTAAATCTCTGTGTCCGCACACAAGGTTGTACTGGCACGCAGCCATGCGCTGGCCTAAAACACCCGCCGTCTGGCCCTTTATAGAAGTTTGCCAGTCCCCGGCGTAGGGGATCAAAGGGTGCGATTTACCTGCCAGTGTGTCTGTGAGAGGCACCAGGGCCAGGACCGCCCTTAGTGTGGGGTGTCGGGGGAGAAGAAGCAGGGAGCGGGTGGCAGGATGGATCGCTACCCGGAGAGAAGACATGGGATCCCCGGACAAGACTTCAAACGCTGGCTCTGCCAATGCGTGGCCACTGGGAAGGGGCTCCCTGGGCCTCATTCTCCTCCCTGGGGAGTGGGGCTCCTAACTGCACCCCCTGTCGGGAAGAGATAGTGAGGTCGCTGCCCAGCACAGTCAGGGCTCAAGGAGCCGGAGCTGGGGTCGGTGTCTTGACCGTCATCGTCAGCAATTGGCTCAGGACTTGCAGAAGCAACAAGGGGTGAGCATGTTATTTACAGATGAAATGAAGCAAAAAGAATGTTCCCGACCCTTTTGTTATGACAGAAGGGTCTGTTTGCCGTTGTGTTGAACGTATCTTGCTCTGTGAACCTATTTTGTCCTTCCTCAATAAACTTCAGTCCGTGCTTGCAAAAAAAAAAAAAAAATAGAATGTCCCCCAATGTTATGCTTTATGCTTTCTTGTGTACACTTTTTGTAAACATTGGAAGGTCTGCCCAAGCTTTCCTGTGTTAAAAAAACTAACACCACAAGGGAATGGTATGCAAGTACATTTTGCGGGAGAATTCCAGAACAGTCACGGAGAGCCGTAGGAACAGTAGGGCAGAGGTGCTGATTTAAAGTGATACTTTATAGCAGGTAAATTGACCATTTCTAAGCAACTACAATTTAAATTGACCAAATATATCATTTTATGCCAAATCCATTTGTACAATGAAATTATTATACTAATATTTTACCAACTTTCTTTTCTCATCCTTTAATACTTAACCTCAGACATCACCTCCTCCACGAAACCTCCTCTTCCAGCCAGCTTGTCACCACTGCCACGCCCTGATTCCCAAGACACATGTTGGTGAAGGGCACTTCCTCTCCGCTTCCTGCCAGTAGCAGTGGCCCTGGCTTCAGACTGCCTGGGTTTGAAAGCAGTTATATTGCCTCCTAGCTGTGTGACCTTGGACAAGTGACTTAACCTCTCTGAGCCTCACTTTACTCACCAAGGAAATGAAAAGCTAAAACCTATTTTGCAGATTTGTCTAGACATTAAATTAGGTAATGTGGGTAAAATGCCTGGCACACAGGTGGGCTGTCCATAAATGGTAGCTACTGTAACTCATCATGTTATG